TTGAGTTTGGTGGGAGCTGTCAAGGGAAATAGATTCGGGCATGGTTGCGGTCTCAGAGAGGAAACTATTGAGCAGACCTGCAGAGAGAGGCGGCCTGTAATCTCCTCCTTTCTGGCTTCCCCAACACCAGACAGGTTGTGTAGGATAGAGGTGTGGTCAGCCCCTTTGCAAGTGGGAAAGCAGAGGTTCCGAGTCACCCTGCAGCCCAAGGGGAGCACCCCTTTGGAAATTGAACACAGCTGGTATCTCCCAGCCAGAGAAGGTCAGAGGCCAAGGAGGTGGGTGGGGAGGTAGTCCCCTAATGCGCTGGGATCGTCCTCTGCACAGCGTCATTCCCAGTGGAGTCTGTGTGAGCCTAGGTGAGTCTGACTTCAGCCTTCGTCCCTGCACATGTCAGCCCTCAGGGCTGCCAAGATACAGGCCAGGCGCCCGGGGGAGCTAGGGGACCTACCCAATCCAGCCCACCTGAGGAAGGAAGGGGGCTTGGCTGGTGTGGCTTGGAGGGTAGGACAGCCCAGCGAAGCTGAGGGACCTGCCAGGGACGGGCTGGGCATCAGGCATTTGGAGCACAGGCAACACCCGCTGGATGTGATTTCTGGAGTTCTGATTTTGTCTCTGGTTGAGTGCAGCCTTCCGCAGCTCATAGCTATTTTGGAACCAGGCTTCCTGATCACTCAGCAGGGACCTTGGGGAGGGACTTTGATGTGATGGAAGTACCTTCCCCAAGGGGGCTTTTGTGAGGATTTAGTGAACTAATGCACGTAATATGCTTAACTTTGAGCCTGATGAGCGCTAAGCACTCCGTTGGAGGCACTTCCAGTTTTGCTTTGCTTTGTTTTTCCTATTACTGGTCTCTTCCCGGAGGAGGGCCTTCCAGGAATCACAGGGCTAGACAGAGCCAAGGGGCGGCCCCTCTGGAGGGAGAGGAGGCTTGAGGTCTGCAGGATGGTCCCTGCCGGCCCTGCGACTTCATCTGTCCCCATAGCCCCATCGCTCCTTCCTCTGTGGCCTGACTTCACCCTCTCCACCTTGAGCTGCTCCCCAGGACTGGAGCTGTGCCCCTAGGTCTTTGCACGGCTGGCTTCTTCAGGCTGGAGTGAGGTCACTTCCTCCCAAGGCCTTCCCTGACCTCCACTGTCACCCCAGCCCCGGCCCTGCTGGGCGCACCAGTCTTTTTCTTCCCTACGTTTAGCACTGGCTCTCAGAAAAGACCTTGTTAATGTTCTTCCAGTCTCACTGGGAGGAAGTGTGCATTCCTGAAGGGCCTGGTCCCCAGCTCCCTGCTGTAACCTCCCAAAGTGTCTGGCACACAGTAGGTCTCATAAATACTTGGAAAATGAAATCAGGCAGGCTTGGAAGCAGGGTGGGCCCTCGTGGGGCCCAGATCCCTGCAGGGAAGGAGGACCCCGATCTGGAAGTCAAGGGAAAGTCCAAAGGGCTGAGCTGCTCCCAGAACTCTAATTCCCTTAGCAACCCTGGCCCTGCACGTCCCTGAGCAGTGTCCCCATGTGTAACCCAAGGTGAAAGAGTTACAGCCCTCCACCCCTGCCCCGCCACCCCCTGCCCAGCTCCTACTTTCCCGGGCTACCATATTGGGGCCCCACACATCTCTCACCGAGTAGGGGAGAGGACAGGCGACTCCCATCAGGCAGAGCCCTGCGTGGCCTGTTCAGCGTGCCCTGCAATGTGTGCGTTACACATTTTACAACGTGACGTGGTGTAGATCAGGGGTTGGCAAACCTTCTCTGTCAAAAGCTGGTAGCAAATAGTTTCGGTTTTACCAGCCATAGTGCCTGTGTCCCACATGGCTGTCTTTCGGTAAAATTGGACCTAGAAAAGCTGGCAGTGGCTCAGATTTGGTGTAGCGCTCCAGCCCCTGCTGTTGATCACATATCACACCTGGGCTGCCACCTACAGAACCTGGCTTCACGGCTTCCGCAGGCACGCGGTGGGTCTCAGGATGTGGCTCCCAAGCCATCATGCTCCTGTGAGCACCTCCAGCCCCTCTGCAGGCAGTGGGATCACTGAGCCTGAGAGCCCCTATGCCTCTGAAACCTCAAAAAAGGACACGGGTCTGTTCGTTGCCTGGTCCCCCAGTTTTACTGCCCCTGTGCCGCGGCCTCCCATCTACCAGCAGCCCTAGGGCCACACTGGGGCCAGCACAGGCACTGTCTGAGGCCCAGAGGCTGCCAGGAAGCTCTGTCGCCAACATCTTCCCAAGGCAGGCCGACCCCAAATGAGCAGGGACGGGGCTCAGCTTTCTCCTCCCCTGTGCTAAGGGAAGGAGGTTCATTTCCCTGGTGAGAATGATAAAAGAGGATTCCCAGCTGGGTTCAGTGGCTCATACTGTGATCCCAGCACTTTGGGAGGATGAGGAGGGAGGAGCGCCTGAGGCCAGGAGTTCAAGACCTATCTAAGCAGCATAGTGAACCCTCACCTCTTCAACAAATTTAAAAATTAGCCAGGCATACTAGTGCATGCCTCTGGTCCCAGCTACTCGGGAGGTAGAGGCGGGAGGCTTTCTTGAGCCCTGGAGTTTGAGGCTGCAGTGAGCCCTGATTGCGCCACTGCACTTCAGCCTGGGCAACAAAACAAGACAAAAACGAGGTCTCAAAAAAAAAAAAAAAAGAAAAAAAGCATTTCCCATTTAACTCTGGGCTGCTGTATTTGTCAAGAAAAACTTACGGGCCAGGTCAAACTAGGGTGTGGAGTTATGGTCACGAAGAGAGGGCGAACATGCCGGGGCAGCCCCCAGGAGGATGTTGTCTGCCCTGCCCCTCGCCCAGCCTGGGACCCTCAGCAGATTCACAAAGTGGGGCACATGTGAGCCCCTGGCTGCCCCAGTGTGGGGTCAGTTCTCAGCCCAGCCCCTTTCATCGCCACCAGATGCCCCTCCTCGCCCTTCCTGGTTCACATTTTGCCACCAGCAGCTGGACACTGGCCATAAGGGCCTAGAGGAGGTCTGTGAGTCACCGGTGTGGGGGGGGCAGAACAGCATCGAGGTCCCATGTTGAGTGTTCTGAGCTCCCTGCACAGGCTGCAGAGTTAGTGTCAGGCTTCTCCTCTCTGCTGGCTGGGTCCAGAGTGGACTGGGCACTCCTGCCTGCAGCTGTCTTCTGCCTGGGTCCAGGGTGGACTGGGCACCCTGCCTGCAGCTGTCTTCTGCCTGGTGCTGCTCCTTCCCTTCCTTTGTGTTGTCCATTTGCTGGCCCCAGTCTCCCGAGCTCAGCGAGCTTCCAGGGTTGACGGGGGGCTACCTGCTCTCTGGGCACAAAGCCCACCTGCCTCGGCTACTGAATGTGTGAGGCTTTGGTCTACAGTCTCAGGATTGGGTTTTCGTCCTGTTTTGCCAGTGGCCTGACTTCTCAGCACATGTGGCCTTGCCTCTTCGGGGCTCCTGACATCCCCAGCAGGTGCCCAGACCCGGATGCCATGCGGTCACCCTGCCAGGCCCAGCCAGGTGTCCCATCCTGAGACCTGCTCAGCGGCCCCCAGACCATGGAGCCCAGGACTCCATCTAGACACTGGCCTGTAATTCTTTTCTTTTTGAGGACCTTAAAATTAGAAGAAGAAATTCATGTTCCCATTTCTTGAAATTGACAGGTATTTGGATTTCAGTCATGTTTACTGCTGCCTTTTTCTAATTAAAAAAATGAAACATTGTAGACGAAGGTGAAATCCAATCTGAGTCCCCCATTCCTGGTTGCATCTAGGTCCTCTCCCCAGGCCACTTTCTCCCGTGTCTTTTTTTTTTTTTTTTTTTTTTTTTTTTTTTTTTTTTTTTTTTTTTTTTTTTTTTTTTTTTTTTTTTTTTTTTTTGTTGAAAAATATAAATCTTTTTGTTAACCATCCTAACCACTTTCAAGTGTACAATTCAGTAGTGTTAAATATATTCCCATTGTTGTGAAACAGATCTCTAAAACTTTTTTTTCCCCCCGAGACAGAGTCTCACTGCGACGCCCAGGCTGGAGTGCAGTGGCGTGATCTCGGCTCACAGCAACCTCCGCTTCCCAAATTTAAGCAATTCTCCTGCCTCAGCATCCTGACTAGCTGGGACTACAGGTATGCGCCACCATCCCCAGCTAATTTTTGTATTTTTAGTAGAGACAGGGTTTCACCATATTGGGCAGGCTGGTCTTGAACTTCTGACCTCAAGTCATCCACCCGCCTCAGCCTCCCAAAGGGCTGGGATTAAAGGCGTAAGCCACCATGCCTGGCCTCTAAAACTGTTTAATCATTTAAAACTGAAACTCCATACCCAGACAGTCTCCCCATTTCCCTTCCAGCAGCCCCTGTCAACCACCATTCTACTTGCCCACTTTGGGTATCTCATAGAAGTCATTACAGTACTTGTCCTTTTGTGATGGGCTGGCTTCACTTAGCATGATGTCTTCAGGGCTCATTTGTGTGGTAGCATGTGTCAGAATTCCCTTCCTTTTCGAGGCTGAATAGTATTCCATGGTACGTATGTTACACATTTTGTTCATCCATTCTCCTACTGATAGATGTTTGAGTTACTTCCACCTGTTGGCTATTGTGAGTGATGCTGTATGAACATGGGAAAGCAGATATTTATTTACTTTAGTCCTTGCTTTCAATTTGGATATATATCCAGAAGTAGCATTGCCGGATCAGATGGTAGTTCTGTTTTTAACTTTTGAAGGCACTTCCGTACTGTTTTCCATAGAGGCTGCACCAGGGTGTATTCTCATCAGCAGTGCACTGGTTCCAGGTTTTCTGCATATCCTCACCAACACTTGTTATTTATTTTCTGTTTTGTTTCCCCCCCGCTTTTCTGAGGTAGAGTGTCACTCTGTCACCCAGGCTGGCTGAAATGCAATTGCGCAATCTCATCTCACTGCAACCTCCACCTCCCGGGTTCAAGCGATTCATCTGCCTCAGCCCCCCAAGTAGCTGGGATTACAGACACTCACCACCACACCCGGCTAATTTTTGTATTTTTAGTAGAGATGAGGCTTCACCATGTTGGCCAGGCTGGTCTCGAACTCCTGATCTCAGGTGATCTGCCCTCCTCAGCCTCCCGAAGTGCTGGGATAATAGGCATGAGACACTGCCTGGCCTTCCTCTTATTTTTATTCGTAGATATAGTTCTTGAACACTTCCAGAATGTTATATAATTCCTGTATAAATGGTATCACTTTACATACAAGATTCTACAGGTTGCGATTTTCCACTCAGTGTTTGTGGTTTGCTGTCAGATCACATTAATCACTATCTCTCATTGCGTGAGTAGCCCTGGGTTTTTATCCTTTTCCTTGCTGGTAGGCATTTTGGTTATCTCTGCTGTGCATTTACTGCTCTTTGTGGAATGCAGTTCTGGTTTTGTCGAACTGTTCATCAGCCAGGTACTCAGTGATCAGTTATGGCGGGACAGGCCAGGGCTGTCACTGATAATCCCCTAGGTTCGCAGTATACAGCCAAGATCAGCAACCTAAAAATAGCAGTTCTTACATAAGGCGGTGTGGGCAGCACTTCTCAGGACACTTGTGATTTGCAGGGACAAGTGGCATGGGACTCGAGGGGCACAGCCTCCCCTCTTGCGCAATGATCCAGGCCCCGCACTGGGGCCCCACTCTGGCTTCCTACAGGTGCCCAGGCTCAGAACGGCAGCTCGGTGACCCAGAAACACTGTGGGTGTGATCAGCTCAGGCCCAGGCGTGCTGTGTGTGCCTGAACGCCTGTGTGCAAGTGGTGGTGGGGGCCAGCGCTCACCTCTTCCTCTGCAGAGGTAAGAGTTGAGTCATGCACAGCGGGCCTTGGGAGCTGCTTGGAACCATGCTGAGCTGCCTATGAAGCACCTAGTGTGTGCTTGGCATGGCTCCATGAATTGTAGGCACAGTCAACAAGAAGAGGCTCCTTTCTTCATGGAAATAAGAATTGAGTGCTGGAAACAGAGAATGCAAGCAATGACTAGGCGAGAAAACAGCAGGTCCTGTTAAATCCATGAAGAAAAAATAAAATAGGGTGGAATCCCAGAGAACGGGTCAGCAGACCCTTTCTACAAAGGGCCAGATGGTGAATATTTTAGGCTTTGTCACCATGTAGTCCCTGTCACCAACATGCAACTCTGCCGTTGCAGTGTGGAAGCCACCAGAGATAATAATTAATGAATGTGGCTGTGTCCCCATAAATCTTTTTTTTTTTTTTTTTGGTGAGATGGAGTCTTACTTTATTGCCCAGGCTGGAGTGCAGTGGCGCGATCTCAGCTCGCTGCAACCTCTGCCACCCAGGTTCAAGCACTTCTCCTGCCTCAGCCTCCCGATTAGCTGGGATTATAGGTGCCTGCCACCGTGCCCGGCTAATTTTTGTAGTTTTAGTAGAGACGGGGTTTCATCATCTTGGCCAGACTGGTCTTGAACTTCTAACCTTGTGATCCACCTGCCTCCGCTTCCCAAAGTGCTGGGATTACAGGCGTGAGCCACTGCGCCCAGCCCATAAATCTTTGCAAAAGCAGGCTGAGGGCCGGATTTGACTCTCAGACCATAGATTGTCAATGCCTGTCCTGGGTGTGGGGAGAGGTGCCTGAGCTGGGGTTGTCAGGGAGAACCCTTCTGGAAGGCAGATGGGAACTGAGAACCCATTGCAGGAAGGAGCCGACCCTGGGACAGCCTGTCTCAGGTGGGACACAGTGGCACCTTGTTGTTGATACGGTGGCAGAGCCGTGTGCTGAGAAGCGGGCAGGCTAGAGTGGAGAGGTAATGATGATGAGATTTGCTCATGGTTTGAATGTTGGAGGTACAGGGACGGGGAGATTCAAGGATGCGTCCTAGATCTGGGGTTTGAACTCCTGGGTGAATGGTGGTGTCACTGAAGGAGAGGAAGAGGCGCAGGTCTGCGGGGACTGGGCTTGGTGTTGGATGTGTTGTGTTTGAAGAGCTTATTAGACAAGCAGGTAAGCATCTATGCTGAGAGCCCTCCTAGAGCTTGGAGAGGCCAGGACTGGAGGCTTGGACTGGGGAGGCTGTGCCATTGAGGGCAGGGGAGGCTGAGGCACTGTCTTCAAGATTGTGAGTCTGGTGGGCTGATGTGTGTGTGGATCAAGCAGGGGGCACTTGGCATGAGCTCTGAGTTAGTGCTTAGTGCTTAGGGCACCAACAGAGGGGTCTGTGTGCCTCACACTCCACACAGGAGGGCAGCATAATGCGGGCTCCGGGGCCCCTCCTTCCCAACATTGCCTCAGTTCTCCTGCTGTAAAGTGGGGATTCTGCATCCTGGGGTCGGGCGGGGACTAAGTGAGTCCCCAGTCACGCTTGGCCGACAGGAAGCACTTGGCGCCCGTGCCTGTGATGTTGGTGGTGACCGCTGTACTCACTGGGTGGGTACATGGGCTGCAGGGCCTGTGACAGCTTGGTTTGGTGGATGGCAGAGTCAGGGATGGGTTGGGGGTGGAGACCCAAGTCTCCTGGCATGGACGGTTCTGATGTCCCATCCAGGCCTGTTCCACCCTGTTTTTCAAGGCTCCTCGGTGGAGCTGAACCCCGCTGCCCATAGGGGTCACCTCCTCAGTAGCACTTTGTTTTTCTGAAGTGATGGAGTCCACTCAGTCACCTAGCTGGTGTGTTGTGGCGTGATCATAGCTCACTGCAGCCTCAAACTCCTGGGCTGAGGCCTCCTCCTGCTTCAGCCTCCCAAGGTGCTAGAACCACAGGTGTGAGCTGCTGCTCCCAGCCTAAGTAGCACACTTTATCCCTCCGTTCCCGTCCCTGTCTGGCCTCCACGTGTCCTGTACTGAGGAATCCCCTTTCCCTTCCTGAAGTTCCCCGTACTCAAGTCTAAGTGTCCACTTCTGGGGTGATGCCTGTCAGTGCTAGGCAGGCCTGTAGGGCACCGTGGGTCGTCTGGTGCGGCTGGTTAGTGAGGTGGGGGTGGGCAGCCTGGTTCTGACACCCCCACGCCTGCCTGGACGTTCTCCTTGTCTGTCTCCTCCTGCAGCGGGCTGGAGACGATGGTGGACCACTTGGCCAACACGGAGATCAACAGCCAGCGCATCGCAGCTGTGGAGAGCTGCTTCGGGGCCTCGGGGCAGCCGCTGGCGCTGCTGGGCCGGGTGCTGCTGGGCGAGGGTGTGCTGACCAAGGAGTGCCGCAAGAAGGCCAAGCCGCGCATCTTCTTCCTCTTCAATGACATCCTGGTGTACGGCAGCATCGTGCTCAACAAGCGCAAGTACCGCAGCCAGCACATCATCCCCCTGGAGGAGGTGACGCTGGAGCTGCTGCCCGAGACGCTGCAGGCCAAGAACCGCTGGATGATCAAGACGGCCAAGAAGTCCTTTGTGGTGTCGGCCGCCTCCGCCACGGAGCGCCAGGAGTGGATCAGCCACATCGAGGAGTGCGTGCGGCGGCAGCTGCGGGCCACGGGCCGCTCGCCCAGCACAGAGCACGCGGCGCCCTGGATCCCCGACAAGGCCACGGACATCTGCATGCGCTGCACGCAGACGCGCTTCTCCGCCCTCACGCGGCGCCACCACTGCCGCAAGTGTGGCTTCGTGGTGTGCGCTGAGTGCTCGCGCCAGCGCTTCCTGCTCCCGCGCCTGTCCCCCAAGCCCGTGCGCGTCTGCAGCCTCTGCTACCGCGAGCTGGCCGCCCAGCAGCGGCAGGAGGAGGCGGAGGAGCAGGGCGCGGGGTCCCCGGGGCAGCAGGCCCACCTGACCCGGGCCATCTGCGGAGCATCCAGCGGAGACGACGATGACTCCGACGAGGACAAGGAGGGCAGCGGGGACGGCGACTGGTCCAGCCGCGTGGAGTTCTACAGCTCAGGTGTGGCCTGGTCTGCCTTCCACAGCTGACCCCCTCGCCTGCAGAGAGTCTGTCCCTGGGCCAGCTCCACTGCCCAGGACTCTGAGCGGGCACAGCGGTGGGGAGTGACTTTCTGGACTCCCAGTGCCTTTTTGCTGGACACCGTGTCTTTCCGGCTCCACTGCAGGTAATGCCTTTCCCTTCAGAAAGCCCCAGAGCACCCAGACCTCTTGGGAGCAAACGCCACTTCCCAGCTCTGCAGGCTGCAGCGGCAGCTCCAGACAGCCTCCTGAGCTGCACAATCCCAGGTCCCTAGGCATCTAGGGACCAGAGTGGGGTTCAGAGCGCAGAGGGAAGACAGGACAGGAGTGTAGCCTTGAGCCACAGAAAGCCACCTCCACCACGACAAGCACACCCCACTGAAGAGCCTGAGTCCTGGAAGGCTTCCGGGAAGCCCAGGCCTGCCAATCAGACATGTGGGCTCCCCAAAGCCCAGCCAGAGACTGCCATGCTGTGGGTGTCACCAGGCCCAGGGACTGCAGCCTGAGCTCCCGGAGGCCCAGGGCAGGCGGGCGAGGACTTCAGCCTGCGTCACCTCTGTCCAGGTGTCCAGGTGTCTCGTGCCTTATTGTCCCATCCTCAGCTCTCCCCGCGGCCAGTGAATCCCGTGTTTTCTGTTAGGACTCAGTTGCAAGAACAGACCCCTGCCCACACTTAATAATAAAAAAGAAAGTTTATGGACTCAGGTGGTTACAAAGCCCAGGCGTGTCCTTGCATCAGACATGGCTCTGTCCGTGGTTGTGAACATTCTAGGTGGCAAAAATCTACCACTGTCCCCCACACTGGGTGTTCCTGGGTATGCCGGCTGCCCGGCGGAGACAGACACTCATGCCGAGCCTTGGCTGGGCCCCCCAGGTCACAGGTCTGCCCGAGTGCTGTGACCATGGCCTGGCGCCTGCTGCCCTAGTCACTTTGGTGTGGGGGATCTCAGTGGATGGAACTGAGGACACAAACAGCCATTTGTGTGGCTCTGCTGGGCCTCCCAGGCTGACAGCTCCCCCTTGCCGTCTTGCCTGGCCCTGGGGCTGGTGCTGTGGAGAGGGAAACCGGGTCCCAGGTGCACCAGCCGTGCTCAGAGTGAGAGTGCATGGGGCCTGGGGCTCGAGGCCGGCCTCTCGACATCTGGTCCCACGCTGGCCATGGAGCTGGGGGTCCTTTAACAGTGTCCCGTGGGCGCTTCTGCACTAGTCTTTCCCAGCCCCTAGTTGGCCTTGGCCTAACTGGGGCAGATGCTGGGGTTGCTGTCAGCTAGAAGTTTTGACCGTGGTGTTGGGAGCCCCCTGCTCACACAGCACAGCGTCTGAAACCTCACCAGCCTATCCTCTCCCCGGCCAGCACTGTCTTCCTGGGGCCAGTTCTCGGAGGGCCACGGGCAGACAGAACCCTGGAGGGTGCAGATTCTGATTCGGCAGGTCGAGGCCCAGTCCCAGGGCCTGCCCACCACCACCACCCACAGACCACCCTTGAGGTGACAAGGCCTGCTGGTGGCCTGTGGGCTCCCTGTGAGGGAGGTGGGGGGGTTAGTATTCTTTTTTTTTTACACAGAGTCTCGCTCTGTCACCCAGGCTGGAATGCTGGAATGCGATCTCGGCTCATGACAATCTCCTCCTCCCGAGTTCAAGCGATCCTCCTGCCTCAGCCTCCCAAGTCACTGGGATTACAGGCATGTGCCACCAGGCCTGGCTAATTTTTGTATTCTTAGTAGAGACGAGGTTTCACCATGCTGGCCAGGCTGGTCTTGAACTCCTGACCTCAGGTGATTCGCCCACCTTGGACTCTCAAAGTGCTGGGATTACACGTGTGAGCCACTGTGCCCGGCTGAGGGGTTGGTATTGAAGTGCCTGCGATCTGCCGTGCTCGGCAGAGTGACCGGTGTGTGAGGCCCAGCGGCCTTCCAGGAAGGACCTATTTGTTTACAGGCCCTTTCTCTCCTTGGCCTCCCTGAACCACACAAACTGGTTTAGGCTGGTTCTGCCTGGGCAGAGGGCACAGGGTGAGGCAGTTCATGGGGCTGGGGGTGACTTCCTGGACAGATCTAGTGCGCTCTCTGAAACCCAGGCTGGGCAACCCCATCCCTGCACCCCGGGAGTGAAGCCAGGGCAGGGTGTGCTGGCTGCCATTGCTCGCCGCTTCTCACAGCCCACTCCTCTGCCAGAAACCCTCGGATCCTAAAAGGCAGCATTCACTGGGATGGGAGAAGGGACCACGTGCAGCCTGGCCACACCAGCCTGCCAAGGGGGTCTGCTCACAGGACCCCAGGTTTACTGAGTGCAGTGGCATCCTCCCCAGGGCATAGCGGGCAGTGGTGGCATCCTCTCCAGGGCATAGCGGGCAGTGGTGGCATCCTCCCCAGGGCATAGCGGGCAGTGGTGGCATCCTCCCCAGGGCATAGCGGGCAGTGGTGGCATCCTCCCCAGGGCATAGCGGGCAGTGGTGGCATCCTCTCCAGGGCATAGCAGGCAGTGGTGGCATCCTCTCCAGGGCATAGCGGCAGCCCCTGGGGTCTGGGGCTGAGTAGGTGCTTCTTGGCCCTCAGCCCCACAAGGCTGGGACAGAGCTCCAAGGTGTTATGGCCCGTGAGGACCCATGGCTGGGGATGGCCCGGGACCTTTGCAGAGCCCCCATCCCGCAGCCTTGCTCCCGCCCCGGCTGGGCCGTGCCAGCTGCTGGGGACATCGCTGGGAGGGAATTGAACAAGGTCCTGGTGCTAGGGCCCGTACCGCGTAGTGGGGGAGACACTGGCACAGAAGCCGGAGGGCAGCTTGCTGTGATGGGGGCGGGCTGAGAATAAGCGTGCGACGCCTGCTGCATGGGGAGAGGACATTTCAGCAGAAGGAACAACAGCCAGCACAAAGGCAGGAAAGGAACCCGTGTGACCGTGCAGTGTGGCTGCAGCTGGGCTCCCAGAGGCGCGGGCAGCCACTTCGGATGTGCGGGAGCCGTGAGAGCCTTCGGCGTGCAGTGTGGCTGCTCTCGGCTTTTGAGAGCTTGCCCTGACTGCTGTGTGCGGGTGGCTGGCATGGGGAGAGGGGGTCGGGCAGGCATGGGGGCCGGCAGCTGTCTGCTCCCCTGGGATCTCCAAGGGAGGACCTGGGCTTCACTAAGGCCACATCTGCCGCCGATCCTGCATCTGGCTGTGGACTGGAAGCCTTAGCTGCCCTCCTTCCCGTCCTCAGCTCCTTCCAAGGGACAGGCTCCTCCCCCATTTTGCAGAGATTTTTATTTGTTTGTTTTTTTGAGACAGAGTCTTGCTTTATCGCCCAGTCTGGAGTACAGTGGCACAATCACAGCTCACTGCAGGCTCGACCTCCCAGGCTCAAGCCATCCTCCCACCTCAGCCTCCCAAGGAGCAGGGACCCCAGGCACAGACCACGGCATCTAGCTAATTGCTCATTTATTCATTTGTAGAGACAGGATCTCCCTATGTTGCCCAAGCTGGTCTCAAACTTCTGGGCTCAAGCGATCCCTTCTCTTCAGCCTCCCAAAGTTCTGGGATTGCAGGCGGGAGCCACTGCACCTGGCCGACGCTGGGGTGTTCAATAGACACAAGTCTCAGCTTCCGAGCTGATGGCCGAGGGGGTGCCAGGAAGCCAAGTGCCCCCCAGGGTGCTTGGGGCCAGGGTGAGTTTGAAGGGGTCCGCCCCGGCCACTGAGGCACAGAGGGGAGTGTGCTGGGAGACAGCAGAGCCACCCAAAACGGAAGATGCTTGCCCAGCCCGTGGGCCTGGGAAGGGAAGGCGCTGCCCTGTCTCTGGCTCCTGACAGGTTTATTTTCCACCAGAGATGGCCTCCTGGACCAGGATCAGGCCGAGGGGTGAAGCGACCACCTCCCCTGCCTGGCCACAGGGCCGCCGCCAGTCCCCTTCTTGGGCGGGAAAGCTCGTTGGAGGCTCTGGGAGTTTCCCTGAGCCCCAGCCATGCAGCTGAGCTAGCTTTGCTCATGACCTCCGTCCCCACTCCTGGGAAGGTCAGGAGGTCTCAGGCCAGGCTTCTGTCCCTCTGTTGTTTACAGATACTCCCGTTCCCCAGAACTGAGCTTGAGGTCTGGCAGGATCACCGGGCTGCTGGGCCGGGGTCCAGCCTCACACTCCTGCCTGGGGCTTTGCTTGCAAGGCCTGGCAAGGACACAGGAACCAACTGTCCTGCCAGCCGAGTGCTGCCGTCCACCTCTCACATCTTCCTCCCAGCTGTGCCTGGACTCCACGTCCCTGCCAGAAACCGGTCCTGCGAACAGGCAACATAGGATTCCTGGGAGGTGCCTGCCTCTTGCTAGGACACAAAGAGGGGCAAGGGGTGGGTCCAAGGACAGGCCCATGCGTTTGAGGACATCAGAACCCCACCCCACCCACAGGGACAGGACCAGAACCGCTCTTGCAGGAACCAGCTTGGAGCAGAGCAGCTCACGGTGGCAAGTGCAGTCACAGCCGTGACCTCAGGGCACTTGGGGACTGATGACAGCCAGCTCTTTTATTTCTTTTGTATTTTTTTGAGACAGAGTCTTGCTCTTGTCACCCAGGCTGAATTGCAGTGGTGCGATCTTGGCTCACTGCAACCTCCGCCTCCCAGGTTCTAAGTGATTCTCCTGCCTCAGCCTCCCAAGTAGCTGGGATTACAGGCATGCGCCACTATACCTGGCTAATATTTTGTACTTTTAGTACAGACGGGGTTTCGTCATGTTGGCCGGACTGGTCTTGAACTCCTGACCTCAGATAATTCACCCACCTTGGCCTTGCAAAGTGCTGGGATTATAGGTGTGAGCCACCGTCAGCCCTCCCTTTAGAGCTCTGCAGGGTGCAGTGTTCCCACGGGACCCAGACACTGCAAACACTAAGGAGGCTTTTCACAAAGGTCAAGTGGGCCCTACCTGTGAGCTTTGGTGGTTGGGATTTTTAGATGCCAAGTTTTCTTAAAGACAGGCCCACCATTATATGTGCTGGTAACATTGGGGTGTTGCCTGTCAGAGGCCAGAGAGTCAGGCGGGAGGTTCACAGGACCCCAAGAATCTTCTACCTCCTTGATGATGGTGGGATGCGGGGGTGCTGATGGTGGCTGTGACTGCCACTTACTGAGGCCCATCTGTGCGCTAGTTTCAAGGAGGCAGAGGCCAGGTCACATGAGGCCATCCTAAGGCTAAAGGAGACGTGTCATGAGCCCGGAGAGAAAGGGATTGACAAAGCCAGAGAAGGGAACTCCCAGAACAGCTGGAGGGCTTCCTGGAGGAAGTGGTGTTTGGTTGATCCTCAGAGGATGGTAGGACTTTATCAGAGAATTGTAGTCTCCACAAGGACTGGGACTCTGGGCCTTTTTGGTAACTGTCTTTCCAGGTCCTTAGCATTAAACATTTGTTGAATGAATAAGTGAGTCAGGAGGACATGGGGCTGGGGGCATCGGGGTAGAAAGGATGATAAAGAAAGCAACTGAGTTTCACTCTGGAGCCTCCGGGCTGGACTCTGGATAGGAACTGGTGTTTCTGGCATATTTCTACAGGAGCAGGGACAGCAGGAGGGCTCCATCCGGCCCAGGCTTCAGGGATCAGTCCCCCTCCCATACGCTAAATGTGAGTGGCCCTCTCAGGTGGGGATAAGAACGCCCATCCCCCCCACCCAAGCGGTGCTTTCTGGAGCTGGGTCTGACTCGATCGCAGGCCAGGCTCCAGACTTCCGTGAGGCTCTCGTCCAGGCTGGCATCACAGGGGCT